GGGAACTTGTGATACATATATTGTCATTCCTGGGAATTTGTGATACATATATTGTAATTACCGGGAACTTGTGATACATATATTGTAATTACCGGGAACTTGTGATACATATATTGTCATTCCTGGGAACTTGTGATACATATAATGTAATTACCGGGAACTTGTGATACATATATTGTCATTCCTGGGAACTTGTGATACATATATTGTCATTCCCGGGAACTTGTGATATTTATATTGTAATTACCGAGAACTTGTAATACATATATTGTAATTCCCGGGAACTTGTGTTACATATATTGTCATTCCCGGGAACTTGTGATACTTATATTGTCATTCCCGGGAACTTGTGATATTTATATTGTAATTCCCGGGAACTTGTGATATTTATATTGTAATTACCGGGAACTTGTGATACGTATATTGTCATTCCTGATAACTGAAAGGTCACATACCGGTTGCACACACTCCATCTTTGTCATAAAAAATAATTCATACTGATTGGTTAGATTTATATTTCGTTGCCAAGATTAAGAGTTATGGAATTATTAACATAATTATATTGATGAAATAGAAGTTTAAAACATGGCACAGAAATTGCAAACCTTGACCTGTAAGGGATTAAACGTATCGGATTAATGAAAAAAGATCTGATAATAATACCATTGTTATACATGTATAAGGAGGTTATTTGGAATATGTGCCTACTGAAGAGACACATTACCAGACATTTACCACGACTGTCAGTGAATTGTTTGTGTTTCTCGCCACGATCACCCATCCAAAGTCTTTAGTAATACCAAACTGTGTCCCTGAAGCCACAAATTATTTCTGTATTTAATATGAAACGTAAATTTCCTTTAAAATGTATATGTCCGGCCTGTAACAGATTTACGTTTTCAATCACTAAAGAAATTGTTTTCCTAACAGATAAAGAATTAAACACTTTTTTCACAGCTAAAATACTTTATATCACAGTTAAAACCTTCTTTGTTATACACTTTGGCGTTTTTAATATCACATTTGGGATTATCAGCGACTGTCTATAACCTGTGTAAACCTGTTAAACAGGATTCAAAATGGGTCTTCAGTTTGTATATATATTATATCGTCTTTAATGACATTTGGAAAAAATTCTTTTCGAAATAAATGAAAATATATCTACATATATTGTTCTCGCTGTTCCTATACAAACAATCTTGTACGTAAATTTTGATGACGTCATAATCCTAATGACGACACAAAAGGAATGACGTCATTATCGGTCAACCAACAACAATAATGGCGGAGACATGGTATTTGTGCAACCAATGTAAACTGCAGCAAGTAAAACGGCCTACAGGCTGATACCATTACCTCAGGTAAACCAACCAGTAAGCCGACACTGGTAGGACCAATATCTGAAGATGGCCAAGAAACTGTTATCTCTTCTCAAATGTCCTCCGACACAGAATATCAGTATCCAGGTGACGGACCCCGACAAAATATGCGGCTGTATAAAACAACTTCACCAGAACACCGATCTACTTAAGGACATCTATGATGCATATTCTGGTACAGTCAAATTCGGCGAAATCAAACTGCGGGAGACAGATGATACACTGTCAAAGATGGGTGTAATGTTGACTGAATTTGATTCATCTCTCAACAGATGGGGAGGTCATCTAAAAAGAGACACTGAAAAACTTCGAGAGAAGGAGCAACGCTTAGAACGACTGAAGAAAGAAGTCGAATTTGACAGGAAGTGGTTGTTAGAAAAGAGGGATGAAGTTCCACTGAAGTTGCATGATCATGACTACCAGAAAGCAATGAGAGTTCAGAAAATTAGAGATTATCGTGCGGAGCGAGGTTTGCTGGAAATGAAAATGAAGATGGCGGATGAACAGATAGATAAGATGTTAGAAAACATGGAAGAGACAGAAGAAAAGTATGACAGTATACAAAAAGCGCGAGGGGAGCACGGTCGTGATCACAGGACTGACCTCCAAAATCTTATTGCTGAATGGGAGGAGAGTAGAGGCAAGCGAGATATCCTTCAGAATCTAGATATTGATCCTAAAACATTGCTTTCGTCATTGACTTACAAAGAAGATTGGAGAGCTAAAGATAAAGAGTTATCTGAGCTGCGAAAAGAGCATGACATGTTGCGAGAAAACGTTCAGGATCAGCAAGATCGAAAAGACCTGCTGCGACTTCGCAATGAGGAACTCAGAAAAAGAATCATGCACAATGATATAGCTTTACAAAACTTGAGAGATGAGGCAAAGGACGAGCATTGGAACAGAGATGTATCAACCCACAAACACGAAGATAAACACGAATACTCTCAAAAGCATGGTAGAGGTGGGACCTCACACAGGCACCACGATAAGGATGGGTCGTCTTCTCATAAACACTCACACCGGCATCACGACCACGGTACGTCTCACAGACATCATGGCCATGGCAAGTCTCACAGAGACCACGATATTGGTACCACGCAAAGGTATGGCAGCAGAGATGTTTCTCCCCCGCGGCACGGGAACAGAGATGTATCACCTCCCAGACACCAAAGTCACAAGGACGGAACATCACATCGGCATGAACATGCAACATCTCACAGGCAGAGAAGTCCGCAAAGACATGTGAGCAGAGATGGATCTCCTCCAAGACACGAAAAAAGAGATGGATCTCCACCTCACAGGCATGAACACAGAGAACCATCACATGGAACAAGGGACATGGCCCATGGAAACAAGGATACGACCCATGGAAACAAGGAAGGGTATCATGGAAGCAGGGATGGGTCTCATGGATACAGGGATGGGTCTCGTGGACACAGGGATGGCTCCCACGGGAACAGGGAAGGGTCCCCTCCTCGACATCAGGAACATTATGATGCAGCAGTTAGACGTGGCAGTAGAGTATTATCATCAAGTAATAAACACAGAGATAATTCTCCTCCGAGACACGGAAACAGAGATGGGTCCCCTACAAGACATGAGAGTAAAGGTATTTCTCATATGAGAGATAGAGATAGGTCTCCTCCACGACACGATAATAAGGGCTTACCTATAGGTAACAGCGAGGGATCTCCCGTAGTGCGTCAAGAAGGTCATAAGGATGGCACTACACACAGACGTGGAAGCCGAGTACCGTCACCTAAACACGGGTCTAGGGGTGGTTCGTCACATACCGGGATTGGTGCTGACGGGTTGACTATATCCGATACCAGAGATGGTGGTTACCTCCAAGAACATATAAGCATTCATCAGTTCGGCAGTCAGACGGTTGTCGGACATCAGTCATCTGATGAGGACTTCACACAATTGTGAGGAAACAGTCTTAACAAAAGGAAGGAATCCCTGGCGCTGAAAGGGAATGTCAGTGCACCGTTATATACTTCAGTAAAACTCAAATATGTGTCTTGTATTGTTTGTTTGTTTGGGTTTTTTAGAAGACTGGTTCTAATTTTGAGAAATATTCATTGACTGATACCTGATAGAGTATTCAGTGACTGATTGTAATATTGACTAATCCTAATATTGATGGCTATCCAGTAAATGATTTTCATAACACTGCAAAACATTCACTTACTGATCTAATACTTTAAAGTGTTCAGTGTCTGGTCCTAGAATACTGGAGAATTTAGTGACGGGTCCTAATATTGCGGTGTAATCAGTGACGGATCCGAATAGTGCGGTGTAATCAGTGACGGATCCGAATATTGCGTTGTAATCAGTGACGGATCCGAATAGTGCGGTGTAATCATTGACGGATCCGAATATTGCGTTGTAATCAGTGACGGATCCGAATAGTGCGGTGTAATCAGTGACGGATCCTAATATTGCAGATTATCTACGGACTGATGATCAAAATAGTGTTGTTTTAATGACATTGCTGATCCTATTTGTACTCGTATGAACTGTTGAAATGGCAAAGCTAATTCCGAATGATTACAATCTTTTATTGTGATAACACAAGCAGATTTCCAATGTTTCAACACTATCTGAGTACATGCTTGTAATTCTTGTCTCGTGTGACAAAGTATTTTCAAAATTGCAGTATCAGGGAGGTCGAACTACGTTTGAAGTTGATACGTTCACTAGGATCTTTGCAGTTGATAGATTATCACGGAAGATATTTATATTCTACATTTGTATGCATATGTGTCTATTTTCACAACTTTGTGAACTTAGAACTGTCTGCTTTTCTGTCTCTGTTAGCGATAAGGACCAATGTGGCACGATTTTCCACTTCAGAAGACATTGGTATTTGTACTTTCAGTGATCGTTCAGTTGATACTGTCAGTATGTGTTAGTGTCAGATCTAGATAAATCCTGATAAAGCGGCGTCCTGATAAATCAGCGTCCTGTGTGATCGATATTCAATTTATTAATGGCAGTTTGAACAATAGATAAATGAATAAAAGAAAATAAATAAATCGATGTTCACATATTAGAATATTTGTTATTTCTAGATCTTCATTTTCGAAGAGCAGGGCATGCATACGATTCAAGCTGAATTCAACTTCAATGGTTTTCCATAATGTTACACCAGTATGTTTTGTATGCTATAAGGAGATAGTTTGGGAAGTCAATTCGTTTTTGTATAACTTTGATTTTAATATTGTGTTTAGTTAACTGTGTTTAATCCAGTTAGGTCTATAACGCTGTGTGTTGTTACAGTAAAATGTGTGCACATTATCGTATTACGTAAAAGAGAAGACTTAAGCTGTAGAAGAATTTAATTCACAGAGTCGGTGAGATCTACCCTTTTTGTTGTAACTGGGTCGCTATCGGTTTGTAATACAGGTACCACCCCAGATCGGCCGGTGTAGAGATATACACGGCAATAGAAACGCTTCACATATTTTCTGTAAGTCCATGGGAGATATGTAAACGAAGTGTTTACTAAACCGTTATGTTCATGTTAAAGTATTACCGGACAACGGAATTTATCATAGTTACGTAAAACAACCCGCCCTGATGTGAAAACGGAAAAGGGACTAACGTGAAAACGGAAAAGGGACTGGGTATCCGAGTGTGTATTTAAGGCGCACGCAACGAGTTAGTGACATTTTACAGTGTTTATGTAGCTGTGTCGGCGAGCCGACTTTCATTACCATTGGCTGCTGTGGAGGAGGGGAGTAGAGAACACTGGAGGTGTTTATATAGCAGTCAACTGGCAATCAAAAGCAGGACTTATTCCGGAACTTTTAGGTCGAATTTGGATAAAATATTATTGCAGCCTAGAAATTTTATGAGTGAATTCCGGATTATTTTGTTATTATCATTGTTTCTTAAACATCGAGGATGAACTGCACGACTCTGGGATGCCTTATATGTCTGTTGTTGGTGACTATTTTAGAGTTTTGTAGGGCCAATAACTACAGACCTTATAACTATCGATTGCCGTCCTATGTCCATGTACAACCCTTACGGTAAGTCAACTTCTTACCTATATAACTTTCATTTATATTTAAACATTAATATATATTCACATTATAGTTTGTGCCTTACATCCTCCGTTTAGCCCGATTTTTCGTGTCGGTGACCTGGTGTGGGGTGGCCCGACGGTTCTTTATGTACACAGGGTATGTGCGTGTGTGTGGAGCTCCTCTAAATGGATTAACTAAATGTGTATAGAGAATTTAAATTTCTATTTGCAAATATGTAACTTCGCACTTATCACACAAATAGCAACGATAACATTATGTCAGTGTATATTTTCCAAACAAAATTTTGCATTAGGTTCTGTTATGATAAGACTGTCTGTTAAGTCGTGTGTTTGTGTTAGACACCCCCTGAGTATGTGTATTATTAGTAAGCCTGCCATTCTCGCTGGGTCAAAGCCACCTCATCCTCACCTGTTCTTGTGGTTTGTTCACCTCTCCAGATATATCTGGACTTGTCCATATATTTGATCCGGGATTGTCTAAACAAGCGTCTGAAGGTTATACCAGTGACCACTTGTAAGGACTCTGACCCACAGCCTGACTTAACCGATTAGCTCACCTGTCTCTGACTACAGGCAAACTTTATAATATATAAAAATAACAGGAGACGAGAGATACTCGTGCCGTACGGTATAATATACAATGGCCCAAATTCTTAAGATCTACCATTGTAACGTAGGTTTTTTTAACCACTACTATTTTGATATAGTTTTGATACCTGGAGCTTCAGGAATGTGGATGATTATCCACGATATTCGATATAACCGTACCTGGTCTAGTAACTCCCGTATAGATTAAATACTGACACTTCCACTCAATTGTCCTTTTGTCACCCTCTGACAGTATGACCGATATTTCTGACACTTGAAAACGGTTTATTTTGACATCACGGATTCATTGTTATACTGAATTATAGGGCCTATCTTTTATTCTGATACCCCTATTAACGGTTAAAGTGTGTTGATGCAATGGTCCTATACCCTTGCTACCCTGGCTCTAAGGTTCAGTTAAACGACACTGACAAGCACTGCACTATATCTGCATGCCATCACAGGTATTTGGCACTTATGTCGATGTCTGCTCCAGAATTGCTTTTTGGAATGTCACATACTTGTGTTTGTGTCTCTAAAGATATGTTGTAATATATTCCCTTTAAAACATCAAACCATTCAACGACTTTCGCCGCAAGTTCAACTGTCAGCTTGCACGTGTAAATCTAAGTGGTCGATGTTTTTTCGGCACGGGATTCAGAAGTAGTTGTCGCTTGCTTCACAACGCTTGAACGGATATTAACAGTGAAGACTGTCTGATATTGTTGGAAAAGAAACATTCCAAATCTATTAAGGCTGGAAATGAATTAATTTTGAATTAGAAAAACTGATGATATCGCCATCTTTTACACTTTTTGCTACACTTGGATAGTAAATGCTTTACAAATTGCTTTTTCCGGTCACATATTCAAGCATTGCCCATCTAAAGAAGGTACTCTCGCGTTGTTTAATTTGAATCTTCTCTTGTCGCTTTTTCTCCTATCATGTATCTTCTGACAACATCTTTAACAAAATGTGTTAATACAGCAGAGCGATAGTCTTATATATATGCCCTTTAAAACATCAAACCATTCAGTGACTTTCGCCATAAGTTCAACTGTTCAATAGTTTTAGCATACGGTAGATATTTACAGTTAATAGTAAGGAATTATTTTAAATCGTCAGCATCACTTTTCGTAACATTTGTAAAGGTCTTAAGTAAGTCTATCTATTGCTAGTGATATTCTAGTACACCTCGAACTTCAACGGACTTTCTTCTTAATCAATTAGACCAGAAATCGTCCTGAATATAGGAAAATGTCAGGCGGATAATATGTATAATTGAACAGTAGGGTTAACACGTGTGATTAGTACGAATGTTACGAGAAAAAGTAAGTTACATACAGTTTGACCGAAATTCAAAGTTAGGCCCGGAGTTAGAATTTAACTTACTCGCTTGTCGATAAGACGTGTTAGAACAGGAAAAGGTTTGAGGACTGGAAAGGGATCTGACTGTTCACAAAATAAGTAGGTTGTCTTTTTCAAGCGTCAAGTTGTACTCGAACTTTAGGCCATTGGCCTATAGAAATACTATGAACAGGAGAGGATTCTATTTTCGAACAATCTGGAGTTAGTATTATGTCTAAACACTCGATTATCGACTAGTCGTAATAAGTTTCGGCCGACCCCGGAATTAGCACTTTGTGTAAAGATTCGACTGTCGACCAGTGGTTTCAAGTTTCAACCAACCCCTCATTTGTACTTCGTCTAGAGACTAATGACATGCGAGCATGGCTCGACTAGTCGTACAAAGTTCGGACGAACCTTGGCATGAACAACTGTTGTAATCGCCGATAAGCGTATGTCTTGAGCATATAACTGGTGACAGGATTTGATTATAATTAGATTCGATAGCTCAATAAACAACTTCATCATAATTCAACAAGTGAAGCATATACTGCATTTAGTTTCTGATCAGATATAATAGATATTTAAATTTGCGGTGTATTTCTGCATTTGGCTTACCAACAAAACTGATGCTTACACTTCGATGAACATAAATTATGACAACCTTTACTTCCAAATTGGAATCAGCTGTTTTGATATCCACAGTTCCGTCAGTGCTTATAAGGTCCAAAGAATGACAAAAATATACATTTTTTTTAAACTGTCAAAATTTAAATATAAGAAAGAATGTCATGTTGAAATATTTATGGAAATATGTAGCTTACCAACCAGTAAACAGCGAAAAGGGAAAAAATCTTAATTTCTTAATTTCATTCAATATTGTGTATATTGACATATCAGCTGTATATACATGTATATGGTGGTTGAGTGACGTTATGTCAGTGGGTCAAGCTACGGAACACAGCACGGTTGTATTACAAGTGGGTATATTATGAAGCAATGACATGAAGCAGATATTTTTGTCTCACTACTATACTTAAAATACATTGAAGTATTATACTTTGTGTATTCAGATACCTACTTAACCAAGGATACTTACATGACAATGGGACGACTCATCGATATTATAAGAACAACTTATGTTTAGTGACCATAAATAGACAGTACCGCATTAGATAAATCTCGAGTGACCGAAACCAGACAGTGAATCAATGTTAGTCGGACGCTGTGTAGTATCCCGGAAGGTACACAGGCACTCAATGGCTCTAGCACAGCTGATGTGCAAGTATATACCAGTCACACATGACACATGACAATTATGGCCATGTATGGGCTTATTGACCCAGTCATCGATAAAAATGTCACTTGTCAAGTCTTCATTTGCTTGAATATATAGCTTAAAGTTTAAAAACCGCATATGTCTTCGTTTATTTCAGAAACTGAACTTTTAGAACATGTGGTTACAATGGCATGGCATGACCTGTCAGACTTTCACGCTCTCCGGCGTCGGAGTTAAAATAGTACATTGTGTTATTGCGAATCTCAATTCAGTGAAAAATTACGCTTACTTGGCATAGATTGTAAAGGTAATCCGTGTCACTACATCAACCTCATGTCCCCCATTATCTCACGATCTAGAGTTGTCCCCCTTACATTCTGGTTTCTCGACTCTGATTTTATGAAATGTCTCCTTGCAAATTTTGATTTTTTGAAGAATTTTAGAATTTAGCAGTGAGTTTTATGTACACTTATACAATAGGAGTCATGTGAGAATGGCTGCGGGTGTCACCAATGTTTTATTCTTTCTGTCAATACAGATAACGTCATGGACTTATATCGAGGTTCCATGACATATACTGTTTATATTCAGTGCGATATTTTGGAACTATTTTGAGGACGTCTGCTCCTAAATGTTCTAAAGATGTGTATAAAAACTTCGGAACATCTCAGTCTTTATCGTTTCACTCTCTTAAATGTCAGTTAAGATTACTTAGATAAACATTTTTTTCTGTTTTCTCTTCCAAAGATTAGGTAGGCATAATTTATACCCTCGTCTTCGGTAAGGGAACGTGTTTCTCAGTCGCGATAAACCAATTTCATTCAGCTGAACCACGACAGAGTGTGCCTGTATGATTCCTGCTGAGGCAAGCCTAACATACAGTAGACAGATTCGCCAATTATCTTGATCCTAAATTGTAAAATATACATCTCCTCGTTAAAGAAAGCCAACCTTTATCGCGATAAACGTCATTTTCAGGCTAAATCTATTTGTTCCCGTTGTGTGTCGTTTAAACTACTGGACTTAAGTTCTCATAGTAGTATGTACATATGTATAGGAAACTTAAAGCTAATCTAAATATCCAAAGATAACTGGGTCTTGAGTGAAGCGAAATCTAATTGAGTTTCTTCTAATTCCTCGTATATTCGGTTCAATTCTGGAGATTACAATAGATATCTGGCCGAGTCTTATCTCCACACATTTCCCCCTTCTCTCCCCTCCCTGGCCATACCCCTAATCATTTAGAGGTTCAAAGGAAGGGAAATTTCTGTTTAATACTGGAGATTCATACGGGCATAACTGTGAAAAATCAGAGTTATAGGATATTTTACTCACATACAGATGGTTCTAATTTGGAATAACTATTTTAATTATCTGATAATTTGATATTTTGATGAAACATTCTTCGGTTTATTCTCAATTGAAATTGACCGTCACTGTTTTTAAATGCTTGACGCCACACTGGTTAGATGTAATATAACCAGGCCTGTAATAAAGAATCTACAGTATAACACTTGATTTAGACGTTTGGTTTATTACATGTCTGACGTAGATAAGTCATGTTTCCGACTTCTTACTATATTGCTTGTGGAGAGTATTTGGTCATAAACAATACATTTGTGTATTTCTATCGAATGACATGTACAGGTATTTGTTGTCATGATTATATTACAGGTATTTTGTAGTTGTGCTCTCTAGACGTACCAGTGAATTCACATGTACTGTCGAAATCCGAAATTCTGTGTAAATTAATGGATAACATTCTGTTG